TGAGGAAACTGAGAGCTGAGATCACGCCCTGCTCAGCCTGTCCAGCATAGGCTAACTAAATCAGCATGCTTATTTCCTATCTTTTGTCCCATTTTGCCACGTCTTCTCTTTTAAAAGCTTTCCCCAGAACCTCTAAAGAGGAAAATTTTGAAATAAAACTTTCTCCTATCTTCCTTCAAAGCTGGATTTGAATAAAAATCCATTTTTGAATAAAATCCATTTTTCCACCACTTTGACTCTGAATATTTGGTGACCAGTGGGCTGTGTAGCCTAGCCTCTTCCCTGAGTGGCAATAGTGTCCTGTAACAAAAGGTAGGAAGCTTCCAGAACAGACTGAGATGCATGTCGGGCAAGGGGGTCCAGGGGAGGTGAGGGAGGAACACGGCAGAGACAGCAACTCCGTGACTCTTTGAGAGGCAGGGGACTTGGAAGGAAGATTGGGGCTGGGTGATGCACAGCATTGTGCAGGATACTGATCCAGGCACGCTGTCCCACTCAGGAGGCACTGCCCCAGTGTTGCAGCACTGTGGGGACAAGGGACACCTAGTATGTAGATGCAAAATGCTGAAGGGGCTTGGAGAGAGGAAAGCTGAGCTTCTGCCCTTCTACCTTTAGGATGCACTTAATGTCCTCAGAGGTTGTCCTTTCTGGGAAGAGAGGAGATGTAATAGGACACACCCCAGGAGTGCCTAGGTGGGCAGAAACTTCCCCTTCCTGCCCTACAGCAGCTCTGGACCCTCTAGAGAACTAGGATAGACTGGTGATTCCTACAAGGCTCCTCAGCTGTTCTAGACCCTGGGCTACTAGGTACATGCTCCTGTAAGTCACCTGTTAGCCCTTATCAGCACTAACAGTCCATGACTTACAGAAGTCTGGAGGTCCCTCCTCTCCCAGATGGTGAGGATAAGAATGGAAGGGAAAGCTTGGAGGAAATGTTCTGATGTACTCTGCTTAAAAATACATTTTTCTTCCCGTATAAATCACAAATGACTTCTATTCCAACATTCCTGTTCCTATTTCTATTCCTGATCTACCTCTGTACTCCTTTCTTTAGAATCCTAACATTGACATTTGGATCCCTGGACATACTTCATGTAAAGGACACACTTGCTATGTAATGACTCTTTCAAGGATATATCTAAAAGTTTAAAGGAGATTAAAAGTGAAACAGATAACCTCAAAGCTTGGGAGACACTGTCAGGATCCAGAGTGTTCTTAGTTGCAGCAATTGCTCACTATTTCCAGGCAGATTAAAGAGATTAGAATGTGTCCTGGAACTACCACTAACATACATGCCAATGTACCCTAAGGGACTCCACAAATAGTTTCTGGGATGTTCTACCATGGGAACCATCCTCAGCCTGCTAAGGTCCTGTTAAGTTGCTGAGGCTGGCTGAACTTGTAATCCTCTTGCCTTGCTTCCCAAGTACCTGAGATTATAAGCTGTACCACCATCTGCTCTCTTAATTTGCATTTCTGAAAAAGTAAGACACACTGGTCACATGTCGCCATAAGAAGACAATAGAATTTTGGACACTGGCCACATTTCAAAGTACTGAAGCTGAGTGGAAGATGTTGACTTTTGCCTAGTGCCTCTCCTCCCTGTCTGGCCCCACCCCCAAAGTCTGGGAGGGGAGTTTTTTGGAAGAGTTCCTGCCTTGAGTAGGAAAGAGGAAGTATTCAGGTGTTTAGGGAAGCTGGCCTTGTCCACCATCATCCTTTGTTAGGAATGGTTACGCATGGCTTGGGGAATCTCCAGTGGGTGAAACCTATCCCAGGTTTCCAGGAGGAAACCCAAGTATTTGAAAGCCAGACACTCCTGGGTGGGGGTGGGGTGGGGTAGAGGTGTTGTCCTTGTCATGGGCTGGTGCCAACTTGGGTGCTGGGACCCTGCAGAAGTCTGAAGTTTGTGCCAAGGACCGCAGTGGTTGGAGGTAAGTGTCCTGCTCAGGAGTGCTTGTTCCATCCTCTTTGGAGACAGTCATCTGAACCCTGCATCCCTGTGCTGCTCTCACCTGATGCTATCAAAATTCCTTGAGTCTGGGTCCCTACCATGTGCTCTGGGATACCTGAGTGATGAGAAATGAGTGAAGCTATCCTTTTGAGGGCACACATGTCCCCTTGGCATACTCAGGATTCGGGTCTCTCCTGGGGAGAGATATCTTATCCCCACTCCCAGTGTTGGAATCCCAGCTTTGAAATTTCACTGGTTATGAAACTTTGGGCAAGCTGCTTAACCTCTCTGAACCTCTGTGTTCCCATCTGTAAAATGGAGATAACGATGGCAGGAACCTTCTAGAGTAGTGCTGAGAATATATGAGGTAACACACATGAAGCAACAAGAGTAATTATCATCCAATATATCAACGTGCAATAGGGCCACGGTGAAGGTGGGAGGTCTCTGGGGGCAAACCTATGTCCAGCACATAGAAACCTCAACATAGAAGGTTGTGAGCGGTCACCTCCAGGTACAGATCCAACCTGCAGTAGTTCCCAGGGGTTCCTGCAGGAAGCCAGGGTGTAGGTGCCACCCTCCCTGCCCGCTGCTTCAGGGGTCCTCTCTGGGTATAATGCAGTGCTCCTGGAAGCAGGTAGCTACTTGACCACAGATCCCTGCCCCAGGGAAGATGGGTTACTGCAATCTTAACTGGTGAGGGGGTGGGAAGGGGACAGAGTGTGACATGGCAAGCAGTGGAGCTTCCTGGAATTGATGAGAACTTGAGAAAGAAGGGCTTTTCATCTTCAACCAACGGTGAAAGGGCAGAGGCAATGTGGCAATTTCCTATGTTCTGAAGGGCTCAGGGAGGAGACCTGAGGCTCAGCATGGAGGTCTCTGCAGTTTAGTTAGTGGGCATGGAGAGAAGCCAAATGTCCAGAGGGTGCGACCTGGTCACATGTCGCCATAAGAAGACAAAAGGAGTCCCTTTTGCCAACTCTCAAAAGTCTCTGAGATCTGTTTTCAGAAGAAGTAACAGAGAAGCTATAGGGGTCATGGGTAGGAGGTGAGAGTAGATTCTACTCTGGGGCCCTTGGCTCTGTTCAAACACCAGATAGAGGCTTCCAGGCACCCTCACTGTACAGATGAGGACCTTGATGGAAGGACCAGGAAAAATTGCTGTCACTAGCACAGCAGAGGAAAGGGCTGCAACAGACTCATGAGCAAGGGGCAACGTGGCTACAGAGACACCACGTCCACCATGTACCTCTGGAGTGCCTTCCCTGATCCAACTCAACGAAGGCTCCCCAGGGTTGAGTGAGTATGTAGTTATTTCTTATTTCATGGATGCTGGGACTCAGGCTTAGGGAAGTCCCAGGATCCATGGCTAATAGGTAGTGGGTCTGTGGTGCCCTGAGTGAGGGTGGACTCTGGGCACCCATCTGGGTTCAGTGGCAGAAAACAGGTCTTGGGAAGGAGGCCCAGGCTGGCCTGGAGGGGATGCTGAAGGGAGAGTCCCACTTCTTCTAGCCCTGATGCAGCTCTGTATGGCTCAAATATGGAGTGGATAGGGGAGGACTTTTTCCAGCATCCCTTCACCAGCAAAGTGGATGGTAATATGGCCAGAAAGATGCCACTAACAGTCATCCAGTATGTCAGGTCTCAAGGATCCCCTAGTACTACTCTGTCCCTGCTGTGTCAGATGAGGACACTGAGGCAAACCAGAACTTATGCAAATCATGAACAGTAAGTATGGATAATTCCAGGACATGGTGACACCACAGACTCCATATCCCATCCAGGATACCTTTCACCAAGGCTTTGAAAAGGGGCTTGCTTCTTTGGTGTCAATGTGCATCTTTTGCTCCTGACTTCCGTCCTTGACAGCAGGGGGAAGGGAGCAGGAGGGCAATGTGGATCGGGACAGGGACAGGAGGACAGGCTGAGAAGCTGGGATTCAGGGTCTCATGGTGTGAATTAAGAAGGCAGGGAGCAGGTGAAGAGGCAGGGCCTGGTGCCCTGCCCCCCCGCCCCCAGCTCATTATTAGTTTAGCAATGTGTTAACCACCCCATTGCTGAGTACCCACCCTGAGGCTGCTGTGGCTTGTCTCCTTCTCTGACAGCGGAAGATTGCCCACTCTCCCACTCCTGCCCTGAACCTGTGGCCCCCAAGTTATAACATTGACCTGTAGGTTTAGGAGCCTGAAGCGGTGTCCCCCAGTGTCCCTGATTCCTTGGTATCTTGATTCACCATGAAGGAGTGTGAGCCTTCTATGGACCTTGGACTCTGGGTACCATCCCCTTGTCATTGGTCCTTCCTGAACACCCTCTATCTGGTTACCTTTGGCCAAACCCCAGCTCCCTCCAAAGAGGGAGAAGGGCAGAAACCAGATGCAGTTTGAGTGCTGTCCCTGCCAGCAGAGAGGGGGGCTTAGTGACAGGGTTCCTTGGTTAAACAAGGAAGGGGCCCTCTCACTCTTCCTCTGGGGTCTGATTCTGCATGCTGGGAGAGCACCGCCCAGCTCCCTCCTGGGGAGCAGGCGCTCAAGCTTATGTGACTTGGGCAAGTTACCTAACCTGGTTCTGCCTCAGTTTCCCAGCGCACAGGGAGTGTCCTCCTCTTCCTCCTCCCCAGACTGCAGGAAGGACAAGTGTCTGATCCTTAGGGTCCATGAGGCCAAGTCACAGGAAGGTAGCCGCAGGCAGGCAGGAAGGACGAACAGCCAGATAAAAGCCGCCTAACCGCAACTCAACTTTCCTCTGGGTCCGGGTACTCTTCGTGACAGGACTCAGGATCGGTTAGCAGCAAGGACCCGAAGACGTTTCCACTGTTCCCAGCAGGGACAGTCCCCATATCCTCCATCCCTGAAGCCTGGCTCCCCGAGAGGCGGCTGCTGCCAGGACCCAGAGCCCTGCGCCCCTCACCGCTGTGCGGTTCTCTATTGGCTCCAAACCAAGACAGTGTCGGGGAAGATCCGCGGCGGGGAGAAAACGCAGATCCGACGCCTGGAGCAATCTCAAGGCGGGCCCACCGTGGGGAGCGACCAGGAGACCCTCCTCTTACCTGGGGAAGGGCCGCTGCTAGTGCTGGAGACCAGGCAGCAGAAGGCGAGCAGCGCCCCGGCCGGCCGCATGACTGTCGGGCTGTGAGCAGTGCGGAGCAGTGGGCTGAGCTCCCGGGTCGGTGGTGGGTTGCCCTCCTGGGGTGGAGCCCGCCCTGCACACCGCCCCCTGGGCTGGGGAGGGGTGTGGGCTGCCAGTTTGGGGGCTGGGTAGGGGGTGGTTTCTTGCTGAATCATTTTTACCAGAAGCTCATCTCCAAATCTATCCGCCACAAAGACAACCGCTTCCTTTATAAGTTTCCAAGCTGCGATCATTTACTGGGGGAGGAGAAAGAGAAATGAGACCTGCGAACAAAGCGTGTGCATTTTTCTACCCCAGAAATACTTACGGGGTGGGAGGAAGCGCTTAAAAAAAAAAAAAAAAAAAGAGGGGATTTTCAGAAGCAGAATCACTTGACTTTCTTCTCTAAAAGGAACCACGTTCTGAGCGGCCCTTGGTGTGAGTGACATCTACCCCTAGGAACTTGAGTAGGAAAACAGGGTCAGGCTACATACAGCTTTAGCGGATGAACATGTGCCCTCTGAAAGATTTCTGCATCAGGAAACCAGGAGCTGAGCAGGGTTTGGTGACTAACTGTTTTATCACTTAACCTCTTGGGCTCAAAGCCAGCAAAGGAGGGAAAGGAACAGTATGTGTCCCAGTGGTTCTGGCCTCTCATTTACCTGCCAGCCCAGAGATGATAAACTCTGATTCTGAGTTTGAATTGGTTCTGCTTCTTAGTAGCCTTAGACCTTAGAGGCTGTCTGCCTCAGTGTCCCTCCTCCCCCAGGTTTTGGTGAGGATTTAGGAGTTTTCTCCACGTAAATGGACTTTCTCCACTAGATGGAGATTAAATGGGTACATTACATTCTGTATGTAAATGAGGCTTGTACTGTAGTACAGACTCTTATAGCCTTAGGTTCAGGGAGATCCCTGTGCCCTCAGCAATAGGATGTGCAGGTAGGAATGAAATGTCTGGATCTTGAACTTACTGTGAGAGGTGTTCCAGCATTGTCACCTAGGCTGGTGGGACATGCAGACTTAAAATCAGAGCCTTCACTTTACATGATCCCATGGGAAACTCTGTCCCAGGGGGTCCTTGCCAAGTTACACTGGATTTCAGGCAGGGAGATCTGGTTTTGTGGGACCTGGACAAAACGTGTAATCTCTCATGGCCTCTCAGGTTCCTGGTTGCTCTGATATCTGTTGTGAGGACTATTACTCGAAAAATGCATCTAGCACCATGCCTGGAGTGTGAATGGAGGAACTGTCACATCCTGTGGTCTCACCATTCTCAGGCCTGCTGGATGAGCAAAGGCACAGGGAGACTCATTAAGTCACAAAGTGCCATAGCAGGAAGGTACTGTTGCTACAATGTTGTTATAAGGTTGTGGTAGAGTCTAGGGAGCAGTATGTGTATAAGCTGTTATGTGTGTAAATGTAAATGTATCTGTCTCTCTTTGTATATGCATGCATGTATGTCTAAGAGTTTATCTTTGAGGGTGAATGTGTATGTTTCCTGAATGGATATGAATTTATATGTGTATGTATCTAAATCTGTGTGTGTATGTTGTGATGGTTAATTTTATGTGTCAACTTGACTCTGCCACAGTGTACCCACTTATTTGGTTAAACATTATTTTTGGGTGTGTCTGTGAGGGTGTTTCTGGATGAAATCTCATACTGTCCCTGCCTGGGACATATATTAATATATTATGCCTTGGTCTATTGTATCCAGGCTATATATGCTATTCACCTGTTTGTTACTTAGTAGCTGTCTCAGTTATCAGATTGACTGTCACAATAGCACAGTGCTTGTTTTCAAGTAACAATTATTTTACTCAGGTGCTAATTTGTATATTCCAAAGAGAAGCCATAAAGTGCTTCCTTTGAGTTAAAAAGTGAGAGTTCTTGACTTAGTAAGGAAAGAAAAAAAAATTGTATATTGAGGTTGCTAAGATCTATGGGATGAATGAATCTTCTGTTAAACTGTGAAGATGGAAAAAGAAATTTGTGCTAGTTTTGATGTTGCACCTCAAACTGCAAAAATTAGGTCACAAGTGTGATAAGTGCCTAGTCATCCACCTTACTTCATCTCATCAGGTAGGCTTTGTAACAGCTCAGATCATCAAACAGAGGGGTGGGGGAGTATGATTCAATAAAATTTGGGGGAAAGTGGGGAGAGAATTAGGATACATTCATATAACTTTTATTATAGTATATTGTTATAATTGTTATTTTATTATTAGTTATTGCTGTTAATCTCTTATTATTCCTGAATTATAAATTAAATTTCATCAGAATTATGAATGCATAGGAAAAACAGTATATATTGGGTTCAGAACTATCCTCTGTCAGGCATCCACAGGGTGTGGAGGGCAAGTTTTAGGACTCTCTCTCATATATTAGGAGAGGGCTGTAAAGGAATTTCAATGAAGTGTGCCCAGTTATTATATTGTTATCTGTGGCTGTGTAACAAAGAACCACATATGAGTTTAGGCAATGCACATCTTCCTTTCATAGTTTATGGGCCAGGTGTCTGGGCCTGGCTCAGCTGAGTTCTCTGCTCAGGGCTCACCAGGGTGCAATGCTGGTCCTAGCCCAGGCTGCAGGCCCAGAGGCTAATAGGAGGAAGGACCTATTTCTAAGCTTATGTGCCAATTGGCTGTCAGTTCCTTGAAGTTAAGATAAAGGAACTGGGAGGGGTAATGGCTCAGTGGTAGAGCACTGGCCTAGTACATTCAGGGCCCTGGGTTCAATCCTCAGCACCACATAAAAATAAATAAATAAAATAAAGGTATTGTGTCCAACTACAACTAAAAAATAAATATAGAAAAAAAAAAGATAAAGGAACTGAAGGTCTCAGTTCCTTTCTGGCTGCTGGATGTAGGCCACTTCATTTCCTAGCCTTGTGGGACTTTCCAATGTGTACACTTGCTTCCTTAAATCCAGCATGAGAGAGTTCTAGAGAAATGGGTTACTTCTTATGGATTATTATTGCAGAATTGACCTCCCATTGTCTGCATTAGGCAAACCACATGTCCTGCCCCTGCTCTAGGGAAGGGAGTGGCTTGGGGCAGGGTGGTGGAGGTCTGGGAGAGCCTGTTGTCAACCTTCCTAAAGTTCAGTACAAACACTGATTAACCCCACTGAAGAGGTCATACAAAATGGCCAACTGGGTGGCAACAAGCACCCCTAAATGCAGTTTCTCAGTAAGAAGATGAGGCTACTCAAGAGACATGGCTGATTCCAGACCAGGACAGGAGATGTACAAGATCAGCTAGGGATCTGTCCTATTCCCTGAGAGCAGGGCAAAAACATCAGGCCACGGGGTTCTGGTAGACGAGTTTAAGGGCCAAGCAGAAGCAGCTCCCACTGCTTGAGAGGATAATTTAGCATCGGTGAAAATAACAACATCAGTGAGTTTATAAATACTAGTAACAATGATTGTAATGATAATCATTATGAATTCTTGCATCTTTTGGGGGCTATGGCTGAAACCAGAATTAGACAGTCAGTATAGATAGGTAAACTGAGTCAGGTCAGATCAAGGAGGCCAATTTTCAGTGAGTCCCCAAGTTGGAGATTGTCCCCTGAGGGATTGAAATGCTAATTCCTTCTGAGCCCTTCCTCCACCCTTATCAAGAACCTCTCCCGGCTCCAACCTGTGGCTGAGGTAACCTGTCCCAGGAGTTGCTCCTCCCTACAGGAAGTTATAAAGTTGTGAATTAATGTGTCCTGGGCTACACTATCCTGCCCTTCCCTCTTCAGCCCACCTGTTTTTCACACCTTTTGGCCATCCCTCTGAGCATTCTTGCCTCTAGTCAGGAGGGAGAAAGACTAGGGGAAGAGGGCAGGAGAACAAAGGAAGCCTAGGACACATAAAAAGTGCAGAACACCCCGCTTCTTGGGATACCAGGATACCAGCTATGGCCCCCTTCTCCCTCCTGGGAGAAGTCTATGTTACCCCTTTTTAAAAAATAATTTATTTATCTATTTATTTATTTCATACATGACAATAGGGGAATGTATTATATTCATAATTATCCATTCACAGCACAATTTTATCCCTTTTAAAAATAAACCCTGCTTGGGCTGGGTTGTGGCTCAGCAGTAGAGTTCTTGCCTAGCACATGCAAGACCCTGAGTTCAATCCTCAGCACCACATAAAAATAAATAAAGGTATTGTGTCCGACTACAACTAAAAAATAAATATTTAAAATAAATAAGTAAACCCTGCTTTATATGCTTGCCCCTGTATGCTTCTCTAATGTTCAAACTTCAACATGTGAGGAAGCAGAACTCCTCACCAATAACTGACGGTATCATGGCCAGGGACCCTTCCTCCCAGACGCTGATCCCTCTCCAAAAGGCCACCTGCAGCCAGAGTCCTTCTCACCTTCAGAAAACAGAAAGGAGGAGTCAGTTCAGATCCGACGGGGGATGGCTCATAGGGTGTTCAATGATGGTGAGTGGTTTTGTTGTCATCCTTATAAATTTGAGTCATGTTTCCCAAACTGTTGGATATCAGGTGTGTGCAACTAAATGCTACTACAAGGAGAACCGAGCAGGTTTTTTTTTTTTTTTTGGTGAGGGACTTCTCAGAGCCCTTAGAAGGCAGGTATAGTGTGCAGATGTCCATGTTTATTTACAACGGCAAAATTCACTCACCTCTGTTCAGAGCATCTCTGACTGTAGTTGGCAGTTCAGGTATGAGGTCAACTTTTTGGTTGTTGTGACCAAAAGACCTGACAAGAACAACATAAAGGAGAAAAAGGTTATTTTGGCTCAAAGTTCCAGAGGTTCAGTCCTTGGCCAGCTGACTCCATAGCTCTGGGCCTGAGGTGAGGCTTCATGGTGGCAGAGCATGGCAAAGGAAAGCTGCTTAGGACATCACAAGCCAGGAAGTAGAGACATCTCTGCTCTCCAGGGACAAAATATGAGTACCAAAGACACACCCTCAGTGACCCGCCTTCTCCAGCCACAGCCCACCTGCCTACACTACCACCTAGTTAATCCACATCAGTGCATTAACCAACTGATGAGGTTAAAGTCCTCGCCACCAAATCATCTCGCCCCTGAACTTTGCATTGTCTCACACATGAACTTTTGAGAGACACCTCATATCTAAACCATAATAGGGGCTTTGTGTGGGACAGGTGGGGAGCCACAGAGACAAGGGACAGGGCAAGGCTAAGAGGCTGAGAGCCCCGTGGGGGGCTATAGATATCTCTTGAAGCTTCTGCCTTGCT